GAGGGGTGTGGGGGACTTTGCTCCTGCTGAGTCGTGCGAGGGAGAGGGTGATGCCTGCCTGAGGAGCGGGACCAGGGGTCCTGGCGGGGGTCTTTGCCCAGGTTTGGCTTCAGCAGGCAGTGCCGGCCTCCTGCCCACATCCCCCTGCCCTGAGGGGTCCCTTTTGCCACGATGGGCGGGTCACCGGGGCCCTTGCCATGCCAAGGTGGAACCGCAGTCTTCAAGGAAAGGGGCAAATCCCATTTCCATCCTGCCCTGCCTGGAAGACCCTGGGCCCTCTCCTGTGCCCAGGACCATGGTGGGATGTATCCTGCTGGGCTGCAAGCCCCCCCTGGCTGGCTGTGAGCAGGGGGAAAGGAGAGCACCAACACGTTTCTCTCTGTAGGACCTACATAAACACCACCTACTGCTTTTATTTCCTGCTAAGCATGGAGGATATCCAGGTCTGGAGGGCTGGAAGCTTTGCTGAGCTTGTCCTGTTGAGGTTTTGGATGTTCTCCTCTCCAGTGGAGGAGCAGCAGGGGTGAATCCGCTCAGGGGACACTGTGCCTGGGTGCCGGAGTGGGGAGAAAGCTGGGGAACGGGGTGGTTTTCACCTCCGGCTCTGCTGGCACTGTGGTGCCATGGGAACGCAGCAGTCTGGGGATGCCACCACTCACTCTGCTCCTCCAAAGGGATCGGCCAAGCTTCCCCCACTACTTTCATCCCAAAAACTCTCCCTTGGAAGATGGGCTGTGGGTCCTACCCTGCAGTTAGCGTGGTGCTGGCACTCAGGTGCCAAGTGGCTCCCGTCTGTGGCTGCAATGGATGTCTGCACCCCTTCACCATCCGTGGGACCGGGCTTGCCCACTGCCTGCCCCTGGGCTGGCGTTCCCTCAAGGAAATGGAGTCTCCTGCCCAGTGTCCCTGCCACAGTCCTGCCTGCACAGGCAGCATGGGCAGCTCTGGGCTCGGCCGGAAGGAAAGCATCGCCAGCCTGCTTCTTTGCTGTGCGCTGGAGCTGGCTGGGGGCCGGAGGGACCCTGTCCGTCACGGGCTGGGGGCGATGGAGCCCTAGCCAGCACCCCACACAGTCTGGGTGCAGGCAGGGGGGCTGCCTGCTGTTGCCTGCAGCTGAGCTCCCCGGGGGAGCAGGGGGGGCGGCAGCCTCTCGCCTGGCTGCTCGTGTCCCACGGCTCGCTGATGCAGCCTGGAGAAGCAGCAGCCTGACATGGAAGGTGCGAAGAGCTGGAGGGTATCTGGCTGGAAGGAGGTGTTCCCTGGTCACCAACGGAGCAGCATCCCAAAGTATCAGGGACTCCCCCAGCAGCACAGCACCCCTGGGTACCTGGGGGTGACACCATGAAAGAGGCAGGAGGGGTGGCTGATCACCCCCCCTTCAGTGCCCTGGCATCCAAAGGGACATGGGGGCTGCCACGTGTTCAGGTTCCGAGGCCCAGCCCGGCTGTGCCGCTGCTCCGGGACAGAGGGAAACACAGTCCTGGCTGAGCTTGCGGAGCCCGGGCGCAGCGGGGGGATCAGACCGAGATGCAGTCGTGCTTTGCCGGCCTCAGGGCACCGAGCGGATGTCCTCCGAGCGCAGCACTTTGTAGATGACCCAGTAGAAGATATTGAAGACCAGGAAGGTGAAGGGGAAGACGGCTCGGGAGATGGTGTCGATGCGCTTGGCCCGGTCGATGTAGCGCCTGTGGAGGCTATCCCCTTCCCGCAGCAGCATGCCGCCCGGGGGGGAGCTGTAGATGCCAGGGCCCTCCCTCACCAGCCCCATTCTTCGGGTGCAGGCAGTGGCCCAGCCCGTAGCCTCGCAGGTAGAAGCGGCTCTCCCGGACAAGCTCTTCCTCCTGGTGAAAGGAAAAGGCTGTCAGCTGGGGCACCCTGTGGGTGCTGATGCTGCCAGGGGGGGTGAGTGGGTGCTTGTGGCTGGGTGTTCCAGACACCCCCCCGCCAGGTGATACTGCCAGGGAAGTGCCTGGCACCAAGGGGAGGTGCTCTGTCAGCAAGCCTGAAGCGTGCAGGCAGAAGTGTGGGGCCAGTGGGCTGCGGGCAGAGGCAGGCGTGGGGGCAAGCATCGACCAACGGCCTTCTCATCCAGCAAGTGTTTTAAGGGTGCATCCAAGGGCAACCCTGATCCTGGCAGCCTGACACTGATCCCCCTGGCCTCCTCCCAGCTCTGGCTCATGGGCTTGGGAAGCCTGGCTCTCCAGCAGCCATGGGGATGGGGATGAACTGGGGGGGCAGATGGGCACAAGGGGATGCAGGTTGCATCGGGTTGCTGGGCACAGGGGTGTAGGGTACACTGGGGTGCAGAGCACATAGAGGTGAAGGGTGCATTGGGGTGCAGGGAACTTGGGCGTGCAGGCACTGCTGTGGCAGCTGTGTTTGCTGTGGGGTGGAGTGGCACAGTGCTGGTGAATAGGAGGGGGCAAGCAGCTTGCTGGGCAGAGCTGGGCGGGGATGCAGAAGCCTGGCTACTGGTCCCTCCAAGTACCAGCACCCACTTCTCCCCACGGCTACTTGGCAGTGGCTGCCTGGTGCAGCAGAGGAGGGAGGCTGAGGTAGCTGGTCCCTTGCTGGTCTCTCTGTCTTTGCTCATCCTATCTCCTCCCATACTGGTGGGGGGCTGCAGGGAGGTCAGCATGACAGGGGGGTGCATGCCCATGCCTGTCCTCACCCTTGGGTCTCAGCTCACTGCTATCGTTCACGGCACGGCCATGCTCGCCTTGCAGCCCCTTGCGTGCTGGCCAGCGGTGCCCATGCTCCTCCCCACTGACAGCTGGTCAACATTAGTGACTGGCCCCATCCTGCTTTTATCCTTAGCAGGACGGTTGTGTGTGCAAAGATTTGGCGAGGCACCAGCATGTGCAACCCCCAGGCCACTCATTTGGTCTGTGTGGCTCATCCCTGCTCTGCCCCACTGGTGCCATATGTGTCTCTTCTCCCAGGGCGTGCTGCCCACCAGCCCCTTGCCTTACGCCATGCCCGGGTGCCGGATCCCACATGCCATCTCCGACGGGCACTGCCTTCCAAAACGCGGAGAGCAGGCTCCTCGCTGAGGTCAGCCTGCACAGGCACTCAGCCGGCAAGGGGGCTCTCATGCGGAGAGCTTGCGCCCTGGCACCTTTATTTAACTCAGCAATCTGCCGGCTAAGCAAGATTTCTCGATGGGAAGAGCAGCAGCGACTCAAATTGCTGAGATTAGTTCTCATTTGCAGCGGTTTTATTCCCCTGCCTCAGACTCAGCATTTGCAGCCACCCCAGGGAACATGGACGGGGGAGCCACGGTGTCCTGGGGGTGGCAGCTATTCCCCCAAGCCCATGCTTTTTGGGGTGGAGATGGCAGATCGGGAGTGCTGACCCTGCCAGCTGGGTCTCTCTGGGCTGGGGCAGCCCTGGGGTGCTGACTGGGAGCCAAGCTGGCTGCAGGGAGCTCCCTGGGCCCTGCTTTGCAGGGTCTGGGGGAAGGGTTTGCAGTCAGGCTGCGGCACGCAGGCTGTGCTGCATCAGGGTGAGCAGCACCCTGCGGTGCTCCTGGCTGCACCCAATGCCTTGCAGCAGCACCCTGGGGTGCCTCTGCAGCCTCCACCTCAGGGTAGCTGCGCTTTGGTCTGTTTTAGGCTGGCAGATGGTCTTTGGGTTTGGCAGAGCCCCCTACCCCTGTTGGGTGGGTGTTCATCTCTGGAGGTCGGTGCTCAGGGGCTGGGAAAGGCAGGGAGCAAGGGAGGTGCTGTGGGGAGCTGGGAAGCCTCTCCCAGCATCCAAGGGATGACAGTGGTGGAGGGGAGGCTTGGTGCAGCGCAGCTGGATGGGGAGATGAGGATGTGCCAGACCTGATCTCCTCTCTGGAGCTGCTGTCAGACCCCAGCATCTCCCCGCCAGCCTGGGAGCGTGCCCTGCCCCATCACTGCTGCCTATGCCTTGAGCCCCTGTGCCCCGACAAGCGCCTCGAGCCTGTGTGTGCCAGGAGAACCGGGCAGGCAGAGCCCTCACCCTGCCAGGGGGTGGGCACGGCCTGGGGAGCTGGGCACCCGCCCGGGAGCGGCCATCAGTCTGCCCCAGCAGCAGCCATCCCTTGGCAGAGGGGGCTGCACTGGTCCTGCTTTACGGAAGGGGAAACTGAGGCACGGAGCGGGGTTATCTCCAGGGAAATTTGCTCTATTCCCATCTGTCCCGCAAACCTCTCTTCAGCCCAGGGAGCGGCAGCTCCATCCTATGGGCACATGCTCTGTGCAGATCACTACCCTGCTTCTTCCATGGGCCCTTGCTGGCCCCTGGGGCTGGCTCCTGGGGGGCTTGTTTTGGGGAAGGGAGGGTGTGATGCTGGCTGGGGATGCACTGTGCTGCACTGTGTGGGGGGCTGCGGGAGGGTCGTGCTTTACCCGGGAACTGGAGAGCTGCGAGAGCGTCGCGTAGGTGTGCTCGCCGCCATGCTGGCCGCTCAGCTGCCGCAGGGACTCCAGGCTGGCCGTCCCGCTGCTCAGGCCCTTTAGCCATCCGACAGTGCGCACCAAACAGAAACAGGACAGCGGGTGACCGATGGCTCTGCCCCAGCCCTGGGGACAGCAGCTCTGGGCACCGCGACAGGGACAGCGGGGGGGTGGGAGCTCCGCAGGGGATCGGGGGAAGCCCCTCCAGCAGTGCCCAGGCACCCGGATCATCTTCAGCAAGTGCCGATGGGGTTTGGCTGCACAGGACGCTGCGAGTGTACGCAGGGTTTCCTCATGGTGGCACCTCAGGTGCCTCATGATGCTCTTATGGCCAGAAAATGAGAGTGGGGCAGCCACGTGCCTTCCCTGAGCATCTTGCAGGCCTGATGCCTGCACTGATGGGCTGATGGAGGGGAGGTCTGTCTGTGAACTCTGTCTCTCCAGTCCCTGCTGTGTGCCCGTCTGCAGCCCAGACCCTGTCCCTGGGTGCCACCAGGCACCCTTGGTGCTTCACCGCCCTGATGCGGCAGTGACCCCTGTCACCATTGCGGCACAGCGAGGAGCCGGGGTTTGGGGCTGCACGTAAGGGGAAAGGCTGATTCCCTCACACTCACTGGTTATCTTTCTGCTTTTTTAGAGGAAGCAGAGACGGAGGATGCCCTGGCAGGAGGATGGCACCCTGGGCGTGCGTGTGCTGGCAGGGCCTGGGGCACCCATGGGTGCTGTGCATTGTGCTGCTCAGGCAGGCAGAAGGACTGAGATGCCCGTGGGTCCCTGATGTGCTGGAGGGGCCAGCCGCAAGCCTTGGACAGTGGGACACAGCCCAGCACCGAGCCCTGCCCCAGCAGCTGCTGAGAAACTGGCCCTGTGGCCCCGGGGTGTCCCCTCTGTGGCTGAGAACGGGCAGACATCGTGACAGCGACAGCAGGAGGGACTCACCATCCTCTGCCGCCGCTGGCGCCGGCGCAGGCGCATGAACTCCTTGTGCTGGCGGGAGACAAAGTTGACGGCTGCGTACTCCAGCAAGGCGGCGAAGACGAAGAGCAGGCACACGGCCATCCAGATGTCAATGGCCTTCACGTAGGAGACCTACAAGGGCAAGAGGGGGCTCAGGGACCTGCTTCCCCCCACTTTGCTCATCCACTGGCACTGCCAGCTTCTCCCTGCTGGACACATGGGCCTGAGCTCTTCCAGCTGAGCAGCCCCATGCTCCCCCTCAGCACATGTGGTACCCCAGCTGACAAGGCTATAGAGCCAGCCATTCCCAAGGGAAGGCTGCCCCTGGGACACTGGGGACAGCAGAGGGCACCCTAGGTGCACTGGGCAGGTGGGAGCCCTGCATGGAGCCAGCACTGACCTTGGGCAGGGAGGCACGGGAGCCGGCGCTCTGCGTGGTCATGGTGAGCACGGTGGTGATGCCCAAGCCCACCCGGGCTGGCGCCGCATCCATGTTGATCCAGAAGGAGACCCAGGAGAGGATGACGATGAGCAGGCTGGGGATGTACATCTGGATCAGGTAGTAGCCCATCTGCCTCTCCAGGTGGAACTTCACCTCGATGCAGGTGAACTTGCCTGCGGGGAAAGATGGTGCCAGTGGGCGAGAGGGACCCCTGGGCCATGGCCGGGGGGTGGCAGTGGGTCACAGGGGTGCTCACCTG